ACCGGACATTCCGAAACCGACCAATCTGAAACCAGACACTTTGAAACCGGACATTTTGAAACCGGTCATTTTGAAACCGGACAAGGGTTGTGCGAAAAAAAAATTCCGAAAAAATTTGAAAACTTTTTTTTTTCAATTTTTTCAGAGCGAAAAAAGTTGAAAAATGATTTTTCGGAATTTTTCGGGTTTTCAGATTTTTTTTTCGAATTTTTTTTTTTTTCAAAGAAAAATAGGTAAAAAGGCGATGAAAGCATATAAACTAGAACTGGACATTTCGAAACCGGACATTTTGAAACCGTACGATTGAAAACCAGAGAATTCTAAGAAACCAGCCCCCAAAATGGAGGTGTTTATCCAATGAAAAATGTTTATTCAGTAATGTTTATTCTAGTAATTTAACCAATAAAAGGTGTTAGGTAAGTGTTTATACATAGTGCACCGCCCGTAAAAGGGCGGCCCCCAAACTTCAGTGCAAAACTGAACAATTTATTCCCGGACAAACAGACACACAGATCCTTCCTTCTCAAACCGCATCATCATTCTTCCCCGAACAAAGCAGCGGTTTTCCCTCGTGCAAAATCGCCGCCGCCGTCTTATCTATTATCGATTTTCTTTGAGTTTTCGGTTTAGGAGATGACTTTTGAGATCTTTGGGATCTTAGAGGTCCTGGAAGTCCTGGAGGACCAACTTGAGACGTGGATTGTTTGGTGTCTTGGTCAGTTTTGGTGTTGTTGTTGTTGTTACTGGTGAGAAGGGGATCGACAGCCGCCGCAGTCGATGGGAGGAACGTTTGGGTTGGACATTCGGCACGTTGGGTCTGAAAAAATGATGAAGGGAAAAAAACAAAAAAGTTTGGTGCCAGGTGGAATTGAACCCGGGGGGGTTGGATTGAGGGGCAAAAGCGTTATCCACTGCGCTAAGAGCATACTGATGGCAAGGGGAGGGGGAGGCAGTGATAAAAGGGGGGGGTGGAGGGGGGAGGGAGGGAGCGAGACGCAGAGAAACTAAGAGAATTTTGAGAAAAAAATTTTGTACGAAAATTTTTTTTCCGTTTTTTCGGCGAAACACCTTCCGGCATTTAGAAACTAAAAAATCAGGAAAAAACCAAAGAAAAAATGAAGAAGGCGATTTTTTTTTTCAAACTACCGCCCAAAATGCTGGCCTAGAAAATTCCGCTCGTGTAGTCTGGGTGTACAATATTTGAAAAATTGATTTATAACAAGTTTTTCCATGATTTTTCTAGTTTTTCATCTATTTTTCACAAAAAAAAACTCGATGAAAAAAATACCGAAACACTTTTTCGAATTTTTTTCGGTTTTTTTCAAAATCCGAAAAAATATTTTTTTTTCATTTAAAAAAAAACCATTTTCGCTTGTCTTGACCAAAATCCTTACCGTAAAAACGAGCTCTCGATAACTTTCACTCTTCCACAAATCCAGAAACACCTTCTCATTCGCGTATCCAGTCTCCATGAATCGACTGGAGGACACCAGACGGGCAAAGAACTTGTTGTCGGCCAGTGGTCCGAATACACTTCTGCAATTCATTGATTTTTCAGCAAATTCTGCATGTCTGTCCGGTATAAGCAAGTGCGCTCCATTGAAATTGCGAAATTGCGCGGATGTTCAAATTTCGCTGCGCCGCAAATGATGAAGCGATACCTAGCTTAATATTTCGGAAAAAAAGTCAGTTTTTTATCGATTTTCTTAATTTTTTTTTTGGAAAATCAGATTTTTTTTATCAATTTGAGAAGATTTGATGAAAAAAAAACCAAAAAAAAAAATTTTTTTTTCGAAAATTTTTTTTCGAAAAATTTTTTTTTCTGTCGAAAATTATTAATTTACACTTAATATTCTGATTTGCGTCGAAACAATTTCAAATTTCTCCAGAATTTTCAAATTACCGCCGAAGATCGCTCTATTTTCAACAGAGCGCGCTTGCACCGTGAAAACCCACTCCAAAATCTCCTCGCGTGTCCCATTTGCATTCACATATTCCAATCGAACATCCTCCAGCGTCATTCCGGCCTCCAGTGCCAGAATCACCGTTTCTATGGGGGTGAGCATTCCAGTTTTCACCGCCGACCGTCCTTTTATCAGTATTTTTCGGAGTTTTCGGACTGTCGTATGCTTTTTTCGTGCCAAGACCCGTCGAGACAAACGCCAGTTGAGGAGGATGATGAGAAGTGAGAGAAATATCATTATTGATGAGAATATTATTGATGTCTGTAATCAAGTTCATTGGCCTGATTAGTCTTAATTGGCCCAATTGGCCCAAATCAATCCAAACGGACTAGATCGGTCCGTTTGGCCCAAAATGACCCTAATCGGATCTTTTAGCCTGCAACGGACTGGATCGGCCGAAGTCGGCCGAAATCGACTCTTCTTCCAGAGCAGGCCTATTTGGTCCGAATAAGCCTGAACAGGCTTGAATCGGCCCATTTAGCCTAAATTGGTCAGGATCGGCTCGTTTGACCTGAAATGGCTTGGATCCGCTCGCTTGGGCCTAAAATAGGCCTAATCGGCTCCTTTCGAAGAAAGTGGCCCGAATCAGCTATTTCAGAAAAAGTGGGCCAGGTCGGCCCGTTTAGCCTAAAATGACTAGGATCGGCCTGTTTAACCCACAATGACCCGAATCGGCCCCTTCCGAAAAGAATGACGCGAACCAGCCCAGATCGGCCCGTTTGGCCCAAAATATCCCAAATCGGCCACTTTCGTAAAAACTGTCCCGAATCGGCCCGTTTGGTCTGAAGTGGCCTGGATCAGCCTGTTCGTCCCAAATTGACGCAAATCAGCCCATTTGCCTTAAAAACCCCAAATAGGCCCATTCCGCAAAAAGTGGCCCGAACCGGCCCATTGCCCTGAAATGGCTGGGATCGGCCCGTTCTGCTCGTTCTGCTAAAAATTTGCCCGAATCGGCCATTTCTCAAAAAGTGGCCCGAAACGTCCATTCTCGCAAAAAATGATTCGAATAGGCCCGTTTTGCCTGAAATGGACGGGGCCGGCCTGTTTGGCCCAAAATAGCCCGAATCGGCTCATTTCGCAAAAAGTGGCCCGAATCGGCCCGCTTCTCAAAAGATGACCAGAATCGGCCCGAATTGCCCGAAATTCAGTTGGGCCGTTTGAGCCGATTTGAGCCGTTTTAGGCCGTTTCGACTAATTTGGGCCGATTCATGCCTATTTAGTGCTTTTCACGGCCCGCAAATGGGCTGTATAGGCCTGAATTGGCCTGTTTGGCTCAAAATAGTCCGAATCTGCCCATTTGGGCTGAAATGACCTAGATCGGCCTGTTTGGCCTGAAACGACCCGAACCAACACGTTAGGCTCAAAGTGGACCGTTTTAGGCCGTTTGGACGAGTTTGACCCTTTTACGGGCCTTGTATCACTTTACGCTCTTACATGCCGATTTACGGGCTATATTTGGATTTCCGGACCCTGATTCGATTTACAAATTCTTTGTAGATTTACGGGCTCCACTTACCATTTCATAAGAGCTCTCATCGTGTACTACATTGGTGCTTTTGGTAATCGAACTCATTTGGTTTTGTGTTGTCAGTTTATTTTAAGAAAATGAACTCTCCTTGAAAACTGGAATTCTGAATTTTTATGGTGACACGTGGCAAAACGTGGGAAACTAGGAAATGGAAATGGGGAAAATTTATTATTTGAACCCAATCAGTTTTTTGACCCGTTAATGAAATTTAACAAATTCTACAAAATTTAGCTGAGAAAATTAGGATTTCCGAATACTTCCAGACGGATCCGTCCATAGTTTCGTCCAGGATGGTGGATAGAAGTCCTCTTGACGCATTTCGTGAAGGACCTGGAAGGATTACGGTAGATGGGGGGTACTGTAACCAGTTCGAAAAATGGGGAGACGGGAATTCGGGTTTTCTGGTTTTTTTCGACTTTTTTGGTGACTTTTTTCCCGAAAAATTCTGATTTTTTCGAAAAAGTTGTTTTTTTTTTCGAGGTTCCCGATTTCCGAAAAAAACCGAATTTTTTACTTCCGGAAAATTTTCCTGATTTTTCGAAGAAGTTGTTTCGGAAATTTTACGGGATTCCCGTTCCACAGTGAATGTTTCATTTGCAAGCTTTGTCTTACTGTAGGGTCGCATGTTAACTGCGTGGCGACTCAGCGATACGTAGGCATTTTTCTCATTTTGTTTAAAGATTAAAAATCAGGGCCTAAGCTTTTTCTGAATCAAATTGAATAGAAATATTTTTTCGCATCATGTTGAGAATAAGCGCGGCTTACTGTCACATTTTGAAGACGCAGTATGAAATTTGTAAAAGTCGAGGAAAAAATTCCGGAAAAAGTTTTCTCCAATTCCATGACTTACCCCATCCTTGGACTCCACAATATCCCTGTAGTACGTCTTTGCATTCCTTTTCGCCAAGTAAGACAACCACCACCCAAATGTTGATGACGGAGCTGTAAACTTGGGTTACTGTACATTTTCACTACCGTAACCACTAACCTGTAATCAGGGTCACATCGCAGAACAGTCTTGAAAATGCTAAGTCGATTTCCGGGGTCAGAGTTGGTGTCAGGACGGTCTGAAAAATTTGAAAAAAAATTGAGATTTCTCCATGCGCCTTTAAGATTCCTACCGTATATTTTGGAGATACTGTAGGGATACTGTAGTTATAGGCGGTGCCATTTGGCTTCTTGATGTAGGTGTAGTTGTCCGTTTTATCTGGAATTCAAAAATCGAGAAATGCGTCAAGTATCAAGAATTGCGCCAGCGTCAAGAATTGCGCCAACCCACCTTCAAATACAGTATGCGCAAAATTGATATCATTCCCCAACACCACCACAGTAACCCGTTTCTCCCGGTTTCGTTGATAGGAATCCACCAAAAAGTCAGTGGCGGCTCGAGTAAATGTTGCGTCGGAGGGTTGATGGACACCGTCGTATTGGAAGTCGCCGCGACGGACATGGGTGCAGATTCTGAAAAATTCAAAGTTGCCTAGTTAAAAAAAAAGAAAAAAAAGGTCTGGCCCTGGTGGGGTTCGAACCCGCGACTAAAATTTGGAAAACAGCAGCGCTAACCGCTAGGCCACGGGCGCAACAAACAGCGAGTAGGTGGGAGGGGGTAAACAAAACTGCGAGTTTTCTGTGGACCCCCGGGGAAGGAGGGGGATCCCTTGCCACCGGGCCAGGGCGGTGCAAAAAACTTTGTCAAAAAAACTTTTCTTCGGTTTTTTTTTCGGTTGTCCGGTAAGCCATCTTTTGCCGAAGAATCACGGGAAAACCATGAAAAAAGCGGAAAAAAACCATGAGAACGACCATTTTTACAAAATACCGCGCAAAATGCTGGCCTAGAAAACTCAGCTCGTGTAGTCTGCGTGGACAATTTTTTCTAAACTTTTTCAAAATTTTTTTCATGTTTTTTACCGGCTTTTCATTTGTTTTTCATCGAATAATTTGATGAGAAAAATTTTCGATAAAATTTTTTCGGAAGACTTTTTTTCGGAATTTTTGTTAGTTTTAGAAAAACAATTCGGCGATAAACATTCGGTCATTTCGAAACCAAAAAACAACGAAAAGCCCGAAAAAAACGTTTTGAATAAATTTTTTTTGAACTGCCGCGGAAAATGCTGGCCTAGAAAACTCGGCTCGTGTAGTCTGCGTGGACAACTCTCGAAAAATTTTTTGTCAAGGTTTTTACCGGCTTTTCATCGGGTTTTCATCGAATAAATTCGATTTTTTCGAAAATCGGTAATTTTTTGCTGATTTTTTCCGAAAAAAAATTTTTTTAATTCAAAAAAAATTTTTTTCGAAATTTTTTAGAAATATTCTTAGACTGCCCCGCTTGTAGCCCCTACTCACATAAAATCATTCCTGAACTTTGCCGGAAGCAATATCTCGGCTCTTACAGCGGTCAGCTTACTGGGAGCCAGCCATTGTCGTACTTGGGGTCGGATGTGGTCAAAGTACTTGTAGCTCTGAAAAATAGCAAGTTTGCTTCATCGAACAAAGTTGGTTTGGCGCGAAAACGAAAATTCGAGTTCCCTCTAGAAAAATCATATTTTTCGCATTAGAGCACGTCCGCCTATTTATAGCTTACCTGAAAGTAGTGTCCATCGAGCATCAAGTGTTGCTCAGTCCTATTTATAAACTTCTTCGGGTCATCAAACCGGCAGCATGCTCCCCAATTGGCCTGTTGATGGGTAACGGAAGGGTACTGAAAACAGTCAGTTTTTTGGTTTTTTTTTCACCTGAATCAGGGCTCAAATCTGAGCATTTTCCCTAAAAACAAGCCTCCCTCCGATTAGAAAAAATTCAAATTGGCGCCAAACCTCACCGGAATAATCCGTAGATCAAATTGCTCCACTAGTTTTGGGAAAACTGGTTGTAGACTTTGTGACAACACTCTTATATACTCAGCATTGGTGGCATTCATCACAGGATTTCGCTGAAGAGTTTCAGCGATTCCAAGGAGAGAGATGACTTCGAACAGCTTGTTTCCTAGAAAATACACATTTTTAGATACATTTGGCAAAATTTTCTGAAAATCCGCATAAAATATTTTTGCAAAATCCTTTCAAAAATGTGAAAGTTCCATGTTAAACTATCAAAACAGCACAAAATTTTCATCATTTCAACTCTAGGAAACATCAAAAAACATCATTTTGTCGGGAAAATCACCTATTCAAAAAATCTGCTCTGGAAACCGGGCAGTCCAGGATGAAATTTCCCAAATGGCCCGTTCCAAGTAGGCTGGGACCACGGTGAATTTTTTTGTACGTGTTTTCAAAAAGTTTCATTCGCGGGCTCTGTCTTACTGTAGGATCGCATGCTAACTGCGTGGCGACTCAGCGATACGTATGCATTTTTCTCATTTTGTTGAAAAATTAAAAATCAGAGCCCAAGCTTTTTTTGAATCAAATTGAATAGAACTTTTTCTTCGCATCATGTTGAATATAATATTGACAGAATTTGATCGAAAGTTATTACTGAAAAGTGCTCTGGAAACATGGTGCGCGCTCCTTCGGCTTAAGCGCGGCTTACTGTCACATTTTAAAGACGTAATATAAAATTTGTAAAAGTCCGTGTGAGATAGAGCGTAGAAACCGAGAAAAAAATTGTTCGTTCAAAAAAATTTACCGTGTGGAATCTTTTTTGACCTACCCAATCCAGCTGAAATTGCAAACATCATAGTCTGAACCGTCCTTCCATCTGGATTATCATAAGTGGTGCCCATATTTTTCAATTCCTGAAGACCAACGGGGATAATGGACCTAAACCCGAAATTTACCTTCTCCTGTAACTCCAAAAAGTGTCGATTCTCAATGAAATTGAGCAGGTTGTCTACATCAATCTCACACTTTGGAGTTTGTTTGGCCTCTTGGATTTTTTGAAATAGCTCAAAGATACTGAACCCAATGTTTAGCTTGACAATTACGTAGATGTTAGCGAAGATGCCTGGAATCATAGGAAGTTATTGCAGGGAATCTGTTGCTGTAGGGGTAAGGTATTAGAAAAAAACAACAGGTTG